AGCAGGATTAGATGCAGCACATTTAACTGAAGCTGTGATATAATAGGCAATGGTCAACTTTTCAGTGCTGTTATGTCATGCTGTTTTCCTTCACAGATAGTGTTTGATAAAAGTGGAGATGGCATAATTTATCCCAGGTGCACCTACGAATAGGATTAAATGAACATTAGTGAACATTACCCTTAAAGCTCATTAATTCTTGAATAAGTGTTCTCATAACAACGGTCTTTAAAGGACTCTGAAAACTTATTGAAAATGAGAAATATGAGTTGTGAACTATAGTCTTCTACTACAGCTATAAATTGGATACATGGTTTAAATTTTCTTGTTTTATAGGAGACAAGGACAATGGTTCATGCAATGAGTTTAATCTGGATCCAATCTAAAGGGCTTAAATTGGTGGGTGCAGTAATTTAGTCCAATATTTCTCAACCTTGGCAACATTGAGGCATGTGGACTTCAACTCCCAGAATTCCCCAGCCAGCTTTCTAGGGGGTTGAAATCCACACAACATAAAGTTACCAAGATTGAGAAACACTGATTTAGTCCACAAAGAGAGAGAATTCCAAACTGGTGAAAGTTTATCTGTAATATAACTGCGACTATTTCGCTCTAAGGTAGGAATGGGATGAGTAACAGTTTCTGTTTAAATATATTTTTGGCTCCTCATTTTCTCTCCCACCCATCTTTAAAGCAGCGGCAAATATGGGTTTTCATAGGATCTTATTTTGAAAAGGTAGCCCTAATTGTCTGCTTTTCAAATCTCTATGCATTAAATTATATGATGTGAAAGTACTCTTTTGACATCTGTCAGTGTTATTAGCTTCTTATTAATATTTACCTACTCTGTTTCTCCAGATTATTCAGTTTCATATGCACATTAAAGTCTATTCTCAAGAAAAGAAATTGAAATTATGTTTATGTCTATTAGCAATGTACTTGAGTAAAATGAACCAAAACCAGAGGTAAAAATTTAATCTAATATATTTTCACTACTTAATCGGCAAGATAATATATATATATAATTAAACTTTTCAGGTACAAAATCAACTGAAGAGACACAAAAAATAAAATATACAAAGTTATCTCTTAATTCTGTAAGATAAAAAATATTTTTCTTTGTAAAGTTTAGAAGGCATTGTCATTTTTAAAACCTTCAATTATTTGTTTTAGTTATCTATTCTTACCCACTTTTCTACCATGAATAGAATTGAGGAAACCCCTTCCATAACCAGAAATTTCCCTACATTTTGTAGCTGATCTACAAGCCATGCTAAAGACATCTGACTCATAGAAGTAGCTCTTATAGGAATGCTGGTAATGACCTGCTACATCAACAAAACTCTGCTGATTGTTCTTAGCTTTATTTTATTTCCCACCACTGATAGATATGGGTCAGATTGACACTTTTTATCAAAACATCTTAACAGATACTGCATTTCTGTGATGAATGGAAAAGCTACATGTAAATGTGTTCAACCATGGAAAAATATACTAATGGAGACTTACATGGCTGCTTTATGGTTGATAAATATTTTCAACTCTCCAGATCATGTCCATATTTTTCATGTTTATGAAAACAAAAGTGTAAAGAAGCCTCAAATGTATTATTGTAAGATTCTCCTTATAATGTTCAGCAAAGGTCCTTTAAAGCATTCATCAGATGTAGTCTATTTTAGTTCTCCTTGCAGGGCTCAGATAATAATGTATAATAGTAAAATAGTGTCATTCCATTAAACTGTTATCATTAAGTGGTAAGTACAGTAAAGCTTACCCTCTTTGAAACCATCTCTCATGAAACTACTCATCACAGGACTAAAATTATCTGGTCATGACATTATTTAAATAAAAATAACTAGAAATGATAATTTTAGAGTAACAGCAGTTCACAATTCTTTACAGTGTCCTCCCTTGTTGCAGTAGGGTGCTTTCATATCCCGTACCTATTATTCTCAAGAAACTGATAAAGCAAAATGATTTCTATGTGATTATCCTGGGTTATTTAATGTTACCACAAAACTTTTTTTTAATCTGATGAAAAACTCATTATTCTAGAGCCAAGTGATAGACTTTGCTAAGCATAAGAATTGTTGTATGGTACGGGAGCAGCTCTGTAGCGGACAAAAATGCTCTACAGAAAATCATTAAAACTGCCCAGAATATCATTGGACTCCAGCTACCAGCCCTGGACAACATCTTTGCATCTCGCTGTCTGAGGAAGTCACACAACATTCTCAGAGACTCTTCCCATCCTGCTCACAATCTTTATGAACTGTTGCCTTCTGGAAGAAGATACAGAACAATTAAAACTCGGACCACAGATTTTCTGAATAGTTTTTATCCCAGAGCTATAACTGCACTTAACAATGAACTTAAGGACCACTATCAGTGAGCTGTTGGACAGTATTACTTGGTCTGTTGTGTGGATTCTTGTGTAATTTTAGGAGGTGGGGAATTTTGGTGGGTGAGGAGGTGTTTGGGGATTATCATGTGTGTGTGCGTGTTGAGTCTGGTTTCTGGGTGTTATGTGAATTTCGTTGTATGTATACTGTGTATATACGTACAATGACAATAAAGAATTCAATTCAATATCCTGAAGTGTGTCTAGCAGAGCAAAAGACATGTTAGAACAAGCTAAGGTATGCAGAAGTTTAGGTATTCTGGTGAGCTCAGTTCAAATATGTTATGGAATCTGCCCCATGTGTCTGTATGGTTCTCATTCTTAAAATTCCCCCCTTCTCCAAACAGGAAGTTCTATGTTCCCTCTATAATTTTCATTTTCTAGGACAAAGCAATAGCCAAGGTGTCACTTAGTACACAAACTTGCATACCAGAATTTCCCTCTCCTGGAGGCAATTCAATCCAAGTTCTTGAGGTTATTCTTGGGGTTTCTTGGTAGATTGCCATTGCTGCTTTTCACTTTGAGGCCACAGTTTTTTCAGTAAAGGCACAAATTTTGAAAATTAGGATCTGACTAACTTTTATATGTGGGAATAAGAGACAAGTTTGGAGCCAAAATAAATAGCTTTAATCTTTAGGTTTTCCCCAAAGTAAACAAAAATATTGCTAACAGAAAATAAGGGACATTGCCTTGCTAGGAGAAAATTATTTTACTTTGAGAAGAGACTCCAAAACAAAGTGTTCACTCCAACTAATTGTCTAGATATTGCAAAATATTACAGGGTTTCATTTTAGCACTCTGCCTTCAGCCTTACTCAAGGAAAATACTGTATTGATCTATTCCTTTGACCTGTCATGCAGAAGCAGTTAAAACAAGGGGTATCAGCTGTTCTCCTGCCAATTTGCCATTGAATTGTGTTGCTTATGTTAATTCCAATTTTAAGTAAATTCCTAGCAGATCAATAGTGATGATGCTACTTTGAAAGTTGCCAAATTCTATTTTATATAGAATTTTATATATTACAAAACAAACAGTGAAACTGTTTTAACCATGTCTGTTTATATGTGTATCTGAGTCCTTTTTATGGTGAAGGACCATAATATAATGTAGCTTATTTTAAGGAAATAACTATTCTGAATAGTTCTGATACTAAAATGCAAGTCATAATTGTCTTAATTTATCATGACTAATAAATAAAATGCAGATTATTGTCCGCCGACTGATGAACTGATGAAACCGAAGATATAGAGTAAATTGACATTTTACTAAAATTCCCCCCTCCCCATTTTTTTTCACTACCTTGCATCAATAATTATGTATATTATATCATTGTATCTCTGCCAAGCTATTTTTTACCTTTATGCCATTTGCATGGTAATTTCCCCAAAAGCTAGGAATGCATTTTGCATGTTTTTCCATCTGATTTGGCATCAGTATCATTTAACACAAATACAACCCTAACAAGGCAACTCAAGTAATCAGGCATAAAAATGGTTGATAGTTTTTCAGTTGCAAGCTCTGAGTAGTAATTTTACTTTGGAGATGATGAAGAGGAAAAAGCTGGGGTATATGGAAATGACAACTTTGAGAGTCAGCATGATATCAAAATGAATCATAAAGCATTTCTTTTTATGTTATCAGCCACAACCTTGTTCTCAATTCACCAATTAAATCTTGTTCGCTGCAGTGAAATGTAGAAGATAATACTAAGTTTATAGTTACTGCCTGTAACCTTTCAAAAATGAAAAAATATATACAGGCACAAGAATCTTTCAAGTACAAAACTACATAACTTTCAGAAAGAAAGTGTTATATATTTGCATACTTACCTATGATAGGTTGGTCCATGGTGGCGGGAGATTTGAAGAGCCACCATTGGCCACGAGCCACGAGCAGCCGACTATAAAAAAGGCTGCCACGGTTTCTCCGCATGCGATTACTAGAAAGAAAATAAAAAGGAAAAAGTCAACTGGGTCTTGAGTCTCTTTTCCCACAACGCAACACTGGTGACAAGGGTGGGATAGTGAGACAAAGGAGCCCAGTTGTGCACATGGCAACGAGGACCGAGCGAGACGAAATGGCTGCGAACAACTCACCACCTGCACCATTCAACCCAACAACCGAAGCCTGGGAATCCTACATCGACCAATTCCTCATGTTTCTACAAGGGAGCAATCTCCATGGAGTATCCGAAAATAGGAAGAGAGCCATCTTCCTCACCCACTGCGGTCCCACAGTATTCAAAATGGCAAAGGCATTGGCAGCACCCAACAATGTAAAGACGATGGTGTGGACGGACCTAGAGAAATTACTGCGAGCCCACTATGCACCAACCGTTTCATGCCTCATCAAAAGACACGAATTTTTTCGGTGCGACCAAAAGGAAGATGAGAGCATCGGAGATTTTGTTGCAGCACTAAGGGACATTGGTGGAGCATGTGAATTTCTAAACATGGATGAGGCCATGAGGGACTGCGTGGTCCTCGGATTAAAGGACCTTACACTACATGGTCGACTACTAACAAGACCTTAGATAACATTGAAGGAGGCAATAGAAGAAGCCACCGCAGCAGAAGCCACACAGAAATCGGCAGCGACCATGCGACAAATGAATAAATTACCAAAAGAAACCCAAGAAGACACTAATCAAACATGCAATAAGACACCAGATGAAACAAAAAAACCCACCACCACAACACACCACGAGGACATTGAATCCCTATCAGAAGACAAAGAGGAAGAAGAAGATGTAAATCAACTCCGGTCGGAAAAAGGTAGACGGGAGCGGAATGAAAGAAAGTCAGAATTCCATTGTGCTGGGTGTGGAGGAAACCATCCACGTTCTGAATGCCATTTCTTCGATGCTATTTGCAGGTATTGTTAATGGCGGGGACACATAGCAAGGGCATGCCAAACTAGAAATAACTATGGCCCTAAACAAAGATGGAATACCCCCCCCCCCAGAGGGAGGGTAAAGCAAATAGGGAGCTGTTGGAGTCAAGAAAACAGAAACAAGCGATGGAAAGAAGCAAACAGAAAAGAGGAAACACATCAAACAATAACCATTGGGCACTCAAACTCAATCAATGCAAAAAAGGTACATGTGCAAGTCACCATAGAAGGCCAGCCATGCAAGATGGAGGTGGACTCAGGCTCATATTTATCAATGGTATCGTGGAATACCCTAAAAAGACTAATACCTGATATAAACAAGGGAGAGCTTGAAATACAAAAACTCACACTAAAGGACTACCAGGGAAACAGAATTCCTGTAGTAGGTACTGGACATTTCAAAGTTGAATTAAAAAAACACACTAAAGTCCTTCCATTAACAATAGTCGACCGGGATCGACCCAGCCTACTGGGACTCGAATGGTTTGCACTATTAGGAATCGGAGTAACCAGAATAAACAGCATTACTGAGACAGACTGGGAAGCGAACCTGATGAAAGAATTCCAGGACGTCTTCAACGGAGAACTGGGCAAGTACCAAGGGTCCCCTATCTCATTTAATTTAAATCCAAATATAGCCCCTATAAGACTAAAGGCGAGGCAAGTTTCTTTCACGTTAAAACCCAAAATTGATGAACAATTAGATAAACTTATCGCACAAGGGGTATTACAACCAATAGACCACACAAGGTGGGAAACCCCAATTGTTACCCCTATTAAACCAGATGGGTCAGTACGTATCTGCGGGGACTACAAAGCAACCCTTAACCATGCGCTACAGCAAAGCGCATACCCAGTTCCGGTGGTACAGCACCTATTACATTCTTTAGGGGGAGGTAAAATCTTTGCGAAATTGGACCTTGCGCAAGCCTACCAACAATTACCAGTTGACCCAGAAACAGCGGAAGCACAAACAATTGTGACACACAGGGGGGCATTCAACTGCAACAGACTGCAATTCGGAGTTAGCGTGGCCCCAGGAGTATTCCAGAGTTTAATGGAATGCCTATTGCAAGGAATAAAGGGGGTGGTACCATACTTTGATGATGTATTAGTATCAGCCAAGGACAAAGAACAACTGAAAGACCACCTAAGAGAGGTCTTAAAATTTTTTAAAGAGGCGGGACTTAAAGTAAAAAAAGAGAAGTGCCAATTAGCCACCGACAAAGTCGAATTCCTGGGATACCTCATAGACAAAGAAGGGATCCACCCCACTGAAAACAAAATCAGAGCAATAAAGGAAGCTTCCAGACCCCAAAATAAAACAGACTTGCAAGCCTTCTTGGGACTTATTAATTTTTACAATGTATTCTTACCACAGAAAGCAACGATAGTGGAACCACTGCACAGGTTGCTTGATAAGAAAGCTGCCTGGACCTGGGGGCGACGAGAAGAAACAGCATTCCAGGAAATAAAAAACTTACTTGCATCAGACTGTGTGCTAATACAATACAGCGAGACTCTTCCAATAACATTAACATGCGATGCATCACCATTCGGCATTGGTGCCATACTCAGCCATGTATTACCTGATGGAAGAGAAGCACCTATCGCATTCTATTCAAAAACTCTATCTAATCTGGAGAGGAATTACAGCCAACTAGATAGGGAGGCATTGGCCGCAATAACAGAAATAAAACGTTTCCACGAGTATATCTATGGCAGACCCTTTTCACTTGTCACAGACCATAAACCTCTCCTAGGAATCCTCGCAGGAAACAAAGCTACACCTAACATACTGTCACCGTGGATGACGAGGTGGTCTGAATTCCTAGCTGCCTATAACTATAACTTGATCTACCAACCAGGAAAGAACATAACACACACTGACTCCCTGAGCCGTTCCCCCCTACCCGACTTAGATGATGATCCTGCATCAACCACATCAACCCTTCAAATCGAGACGTTGGCAAACCTACCCATAACAGCAACAGACATTGCTATGGAAACCTGGCATGGATTTTAAATTGGGTAGGTAAAGGGTGGCCAGAAACTGCAAGTGACGAGACTGTTAAATCATTTCGGAATAGACAAACGGAACTATCAATCTTCAAGGGATGTATACTATGGGGGGGATAGGGTGGTCATACTGAACATATTAAGGAAACAAATACTTGAATTATTGCATGAGGGTCACCCGGGTATTGTCAGAATGAAGTCCCTGGCTAGGAGTTATGTATGGTGGCCAGGGATGGATAAAGACATAGGAGAATGGGTAGCAACTTGCAAACGATGCCAGGAATCTAGACCTACATCCCCTTCTGCACCTATACATGAATGGGAAACACCTAGGGGACCATGGTCTAGAATACACATTGATTTCGCAGGACCAACTAAAGGACACACATTCTTAATAGTGATAGACGCTTACTCAAATTGGCTTACCATCATGCACTCAACCACAACAGAAGCTGTTATTAGACAACTAAGGAAACTTTTTACAACACATGGATTGCCGGATTTAGTTGTATCCGACAACGGACCACAATTCACGGCAATAACATTCGAAAGGTTCCTGGCAGAACAAGGAATAAGGCATGCACTAACAGCGCCGGGACATCCGGCTACAAACGGATGGGTGGAACGCATGGTCTGTTACACTAAGGAAGCACTACACAAATTGGGACCGGGGGATATACAGGAAAAAATAGACAAACTACTAAGTATACAACACATTACACCAAACACCACAACAAATAAAAGCCCAGCAGAATTATTAATGGGAAGGAAACTAAAATCAAACCTAGACAGGCTACACCCCACATATAGCCCAGAAAAGCCAGCAGACTCCTCCAGTAAGTGCCGCACATTCAAAACAGGGGGCCTAGTCTATGCAAAAAGCTCACGGGGGAACCATTGTGGATACCGGCAACAATAACCCAAATAACAGGACCCCGGTCATATAGGGTAGACACAGAGGATGGAAAGAGCTGGAGGAGACACATAGACCAAATCAGATCGAGGATCACACTGAGAAACACTAACAATCAGGATGAGGAAGGGGGAGAACCTACACAAATAAAGGAATTGCCGCAAACATTAAACAAAAATAGCCAAACCAGAGAGGGGGGAGACCCCTCAAACACAAACAAAAAGGGAGGGGGAGACCCCCCACAAGTAAAAGAAGTGACAAAACAAACCCTAACAATGACACAACAACCAATACTAACATTAGTCCCAATCGGAAATCGCAAACACGTACCTGAAACGATAGAAGAAGAAAACAACTTGGGGACGCTGGAGCAGACTTCGAAGAACCATCAGGAAGCCACTCCTGGTGGGAGTGGCCCAGCCGATTCAACCAGCCAGGAAAGGCCTGGTGGGAGCGGCATGACTGACTCTACCTTCCAGTAGGCTCCACGGAAAAGAACGGGAAAAACAGCAACCTCGTCCGAACAGTCCAGAGGCGAACTCACGACTGAATTGCGCAGGTCCAGTCGGAACCATAAGAGCCCCACCTACTTACGTGACTACGTAAGATAGGTGAGGCCCGGATTGGTTAGACTGGACCACATGGGGAGGGGTGTTATATGTTTGCATACTTACCTATGATACGTTGGTCCGTGGTGGCGGGAGATTTGAAGAGCCATCCTTGGCCACGAGCCGTGAGCAGCCAGCTATAAAAAAGGCTGCCGCGGTTTCTCTGCATGCGATTACTAGAAAGAAAATAAAAAGGAAAAAGTAAACTAGGTCTCGAGTCTCTTTTCCCACAACGTAACAGAAAGTATATTTGGAGAAAGAGGAAGTTGGGTTATACACATTTAAAACCCAAGGGTTTTTTAAAATGAAATAGTCAAAATTATGTCTGCTTTTGTGGGCACTTAGCATAAAAGTGAAATATAAGATTGAAATGCTCCTATTTTTTTCTGGAAGGATTTAGAAAATTAATTGCAGTTAAAAAGCTCACTTTTAAAAAACAATTGCGCTTTCTCTGGAATCATATGAAGAATTTGCCAAGTTGGATAGACTGATAGCTTCTAACGTTTCAGGTTGATCCATCTTGTTCTTTAGTTCTGGAGCATAAGAACGCAGTTCTTGGCTGTGATTTTATTACAATGCAGAGAGAAATGAAGGCAGCAGAGATGGTGAGGGAAATCCCTTACCATACTGGCTACATAGCTTAACATGTTGTGTTAACCAAGCCTATACGGTTAGTGGTTAGGTTGCACTTTTTTTGTTTTGTTTTATGTTGTTTCCTTATTCAATTTTTAATATTTTGTAAACCATTCTGGGAGTTGGGCAGCATATTAATTTCAATAAAAAATATTAATGCAATAAATAAATTATGGAAGATTAAAACAATATTTCAAATTGGCTAGAAAAAGAATTAAAAGTACATTTCTATTGTTTTAAGTTACTTTCCAAACTTTTGATATGTAATTAAAATGAGCATCTGCCAAAGCCAATGAACATTTCAAAACAAATCTTCTTCATCCTAGTGTTTTCCCACAGGTGCAGGGTCTGCTTTTTGAACTAACAAGTGCAGTTTTATGTGTTCATCTTCCAGAATAAATAAATAGGTGAAATAACTTCCTCCCATAGGGAGTTAGTATAGTGCACAATCACATTTATTTATTTACTATTTTTATTTATTTATCAAATTCCTAATACTGCTTGTATGACTCTGGGCAATTTAAAAATAAAACAATAAAATCATATAAGTCATAATTAAAAAAAAATTAAAAATCAGAATTAAAACAGAGTTTAAAAGAACAATTCAAAAATTAAGTCAGAGAGAAGGGCTTCAATCCACCAACCACCCCCAGGTTTGCATGACACTCTTAGATCCCCTCACTG